AAGTTCTAAACTCCATAACTCAACTTATATTAATCGGATTTTGAAGTGGCATACCTCTAAATGTTTCTGGCGCAATTCTCTAAAAATCTGCAAAAAAATTTAGAAATTTATTTTTTTTTAATTTTTTGCCATTTTTCTGATGTAGAAATTCCAGATTACTAGGAAATGTCCCCAGACTGAAGTTCTAAACTCCATAACTCAACTTATATAAATCGGATTTTGAAGTGGCTTACCTCTAAATGTTTCTGGCGCAATTCTCTAAAAATCTGCATCCAAATTAAAAAAATTTTTTTTTTTTAATTTTTTTGTCAGTTTTCTGATGTAGAAATTCAAGATTACTAAGAAATGTCCCAGACTGAAGTTCTAAACTCCATAACTCAACTTATATTAATCGGATTTTGAAGTGGCATACCTCTAAATGTTTCTGGCGCAATTCTCTAAAAATCTGCAAAAAAATTTAGAAATTTATTTTTTTTTTAATTTTTTGCCATTTTTCTGATGTAGAAATTCCAGATTACTAAGAAATGTCCCCAGACTGAAGTTCTAAACTCCATAACTCAACTTATATTAATCGGATTTTGAAGTGGCATACCTTTAAATGTTTCTGGCGCAATTCTCTAAAAATCTGCATCCAAATTTAGAAAAAAATTTTTTTTTAATTTTTTGTCATTTTTCTGATGTAGAAATTCAAGATTACTAAGAAATGTCCCCAGACTGAAGTTCTAAACTCCATAACTCAACTTATATTAATCGGATTTTGAAGTGGCATACCTCTAAATGTTTCTGGCGCAATTCTCTAAAAATCTGCATCCAAATTTAAAAAAATTTTTTTTTTTAATTTTTTTGTCATTTTTCTGATGTAGAAATTCAAGATTACTAAGAAATGTCCCCAGACTGAAGTTCTAAACTCCATAACTCAACTTATATTTATCGGATTTTGAAGTGGCATACCTCTAAATGTTTCTGGCGCAATTCTCTAAAAATCTGCATCCAAATTTAAAAAATTTTTTTTTTTAATTTTTTTGTCATTTTTCTGATGTAGAAATTCAAGATTACTAAGAAATGTCCCCAGACTGAAGTTCTAAACTCCATAACTCAACTTATATTAATCGGATTTTGAAGTGGCATACCTCTAAATGTTTCTGGCGCAATTCTCTAAAAATCTGCATCCAAATTAAAAAAATTTTTTTTTTTTAATTTTTTTGTCATTTTTCTGATGTAGAAATTCAAGATTACTAAGAAATGTCCCAGACTGAAGTTCTAAACTCCATAACTCAACTTATATTAATCGGATTTTGAAGTGGCATACCTCTAAATGTTTCTGGTGCAATTCTCTAAAAATCTGCAAAAAAATTTAGAAATTTATTTTTTTTTAATTTTTTTCCATTTTTCTGATGTAGAAATTCCAGATTACTAAGAAATGTCCCCAGACTGAAGTTCTAAACTCCATAACTCAACTTATATAAATCGGATTTTGAAGTGGCTTACCTCTAAATGTTTCTGGCGCAATTCTCTAAAAATCTGCATCCAAATTAAAAAAATTTTTTTTTTTTAATTTTTTTGTCAGTTTTCTGATGTAGAAATTCAAGATTACTAAGAAATGTCCCAGACTGAAGTTCTAAACTCCATAACTCAACTTATATTAATCGGATTTTGAAGTGGCATACCTCTAAATGTTTCTGGCGCAATTCTCTAAAAATCTGCAAAAAAATTTAGAAATTTATTTTTTTTTTAATTTTTTGCCATTTTTCTGATGTAGAAATTCCAGATTACTAAGAAATGTCCCCAGACTGAAGTTCTAAACTCCATAACTCAACTTATATTAATCGGATTTTGAAGTGGCATACCTCTAAATGTTTCTGGCGCAATTCTCTAAAAATCTGCATCCAAATTTAAAAAAATTTTTTTTTTTAATTTTTATGTCATTTTTCTGATGTAGAAATTCAAGATTACTAAGAAATGTCCCCAGACTGAAGTTCTAAACTCCATAACTCAACTTATATTTATCGGATTTTGAAGTGGCATGCCTCTAAATGTTTCTGGCGCAATTCTCTAAAAATCTGCATCCAAATTTAAAAAATTTTTTTTTTTTAATTTTTTTGTCATTTTTCTGATGTAGAAATTCAAGATTACTAAGAAATGTCCCAGACTGAAGTTCTAAACTCCATAACTCAACTTATATTAATCGGATTTTGAAGTGGCATACCTCTAAATGTTTCTGGCGCAATTCTCTAAAAATCTGCATAAAAATTTCGAAATTTATTTTTTTTTAAATTTTTTGCCATTTTTCTGATGTAGAAATTCAAGATTACTAAGAAATGTCCCCAGACTGAAGTTCTAAACTCCATAACTCAACTTATATAAATCGGATTTTGAAGTGGCGTACCTCTAAATGTTTCTGGCGCAATTCTCTAAAAATCTGCATCCAAATTAAAAAAATTTTTTTTTTTTAATTTTTTTGTCATTTTTCTGATGTTATGATGTTGTAGAAATTCAAGAATAATGAGAAATGTCCCCAGGCTAAAGTTCTAAACTCCATAACTCAACTTATATTAATCGGATTTTGTAGTGGCATACCTCTAAATGTTTCTGGCGCAATTCTCTAAAAATCTGCATAAAAATTTAGAAATTTATTTTTTTTTTAATTTTTTGTAATTTTTCTGATGTAGAAATTCAAGGATACTAAGAAATGTCCCCAGACTGAAGTTCTAAACTCCATAACTCAACTTATATTTATCGGATTTTGAAGTGGCATACCTCTAAATGTTTCTGGCGCAATTCTCTAAAAATCTGCATCCAAATTAAAAAAATTTTTTTTTTTTAATTTTTTTGTCATTTTTCTGATGTAGAAATTCAAGATTACTAAGAAATGTCCCAGACTGAAGTTCTAAACTCCATAACTCAACTTATATTAATCGGATTTTGAAGTGGCATACCTCTAAATGTTTCTGGCGCAATTCTCTAAAAATCTGCAAAAAAATTTAGAAATTTATTTTTTTTTTAATTTTTTGCCATTTTTCTGATGTAGAAATTCCAGATTACTAAGAAATGTCCCCAGACTGAAGTTCTAAACTCCATAACTCAACTTATATAAATCGGATTTTGAAGTGGCTTACCTCTAAATGTTTCTGGCGCAATTCTCTAAAAATCTGCATCCAAATTAAAAAAATTTTTTTTTTTAATTTTTTTGTCATTTTTCTGATGTAGAAATTCAAGATTACTAAGAAATGTCCCCAGACTGAAGTTCTAAACTCCATAACTCAACTTATATTAATCGGATTTTGAAGTGGCATACCTCTAAATGTTTCTGGCGCAATTCTCTAAAAATCTGCAAAAAAATTTAGAAATTTATTTTTTTTTTAATTTTTTGCCATTTTTCTGATGTAGAAATTCCAGATTACTAAGAAATGTCCCCAGACTGAAGTTCTAAACTCCATAACTCAACTTATATTAATCGGATTTTGAAGTGGCATACCTCTAAATGTTTCTGGCGCAATTCTCTAAAAATCTGCATAAAAATTTAGAAATTTATTTTTTTTAAATTTTTTGCCATTTTTCTGATGTAGAAATTCAAGATTACTAAGAAATGTCCCCAGACTGAAGTTCTAAACTCCATAACTCAACTTATATAAATCGGATTTTGAAGTGGCGTACCTCTAAATGTTTCTGGCGCAATTCTCTAAAAATCTGCATCCAAATTAAAAAAATTTTTTTTTTTTAATTTTTTTGTCATTTTTCTGATGTTATGATGTTGTAGAAATTCAAGAATAATGAGAAATGTCCCCAGGCTAAAGTTCTAAACTCCATAACTCAACTTATATTAATCGGATTTTGTAGTGGCATACCTCTAAATGTTTCTGGCGCAATTCTCTAAAAATCTGCATAAAAATTTAGAAATTTATTTTTTTTTTAATTTTTTGTAATTTTTCTGATGTAGAAATTCAAGGATACTAAGAAATGTCCCCAGACTGAAGTTCTAAACTCCATAACTCAACTTATATTTATCGGATTTTGAAGTGGCATACCTCTAAATGTTTCTGGCGCAATTCTCTAAAAATCTGCATCCAAATTAAAAAAATTTTTTTTTTTTAATTTTTTTGTCATTTTTCTGATGTAGAAATTCAAGATTACTAAGAAATGTCCCAGACTGAAGTTCTAAACTCCATAACTCAACTTATATTAATCGGATTTTGAAGTGGCATACCTCTAAATGTTTCTGGCGCAATTCTCTAAAAATCTGCAAAAAAATTTAGAAATTTATTTTTTTTTTAATTTTTTGCCATTTTTCTGATGTAGAAATTCCAGATTACTAAGAAATGTCCCCAGACTGAAGTTCTAAACTCCATAACTCAACTTATATAAATCGGATTTTGAAGTGGCTTACCTCTAAATGTTTCTGGCGCAATTCTCTAAAAATCTGCATACAAATTAAAAAAATTTTTTTTTTAAATTTTTTTGTCATTTTTCTGATGTAGAAATTCAAGATTACTAAGAAATGTCCCCAGACTGAAGTTCTAAACTCCATAACTCAACTTATATTAATCGGATTTTGAAGTGGCATACCTCTAAATGTTTCTGGCGCAATTCTCTAAAAATCTGCAAAAAAATTTAGAAATTTATTTTTTTTTTAATTTTTTGCCATTTTTCTGATGTAGAAATTCCAGATTACTAAGAAATGTCCCCAGACTGAAGTTCTAAACTCCATAACTCAACTTATATTAATCGGATTTTGAAGTGGCATACCTCTAAATGTTTCTGGCGATATTCTCTAAAAATCTGCATCCAAATTTAAAAATTTTTTTTTTTTAATTTTTTTGTCATTTTTCTGATGTAGAAAATCAAGAATACTGAGAAATGTCCCCAGGCTGAAGTTCTAAACTCCATAACTTAACTTATTATAGCATTTTATCTAGTTTTTAACTTAGTTTTAACTTGTCAAATTATTTTCCCTTCAACTAACCAGCTTACTTTTTAACCGCGTGTCGCCTTGAACTTTACAGATCCAGCGACAGCACTCGCTATGGCACCAACAAATCCTCTGGCGCCTCGAGCGGATCGCACCGGAAGTCGGGGGGCAGTGCCGGCGGGAACTACAACAACCTGATGCAGCAGACCGTGAGTAACCAGCAACAGCAGCAGCGTTCGCTGTTCGCGCAGCAGCAGCGCCAGCAGAAGAGCACCTACAAATACGCCACCTCCTCGCCATCGTCCACTAACCCAGGGAGCTCCTCGGGACTGGCGCCCGTCCACAATCCGGGCTCGAGTTCCAATCCCAGCTCCGGCCAAAACCCCAACAGCGCTACTAACTCTAATCAACAGTCACCGGCTAATCGCCTGCTCCACTACACGACCTTTGAGAACAACCAGTACAAGTTCAGTCTGAACAATGCGCTGGCCAAGAGCTCCAAGGGCGCGGTGAGTGGAGGAGGCAGCATTAGCAATCTGGCTGGCAGCATGGTAACATCTGGTGGTGTCGGTGGTCCAGGTTCTCAAGGTGGTGGTGGTGCTTTCAGTCGGCAGCGCAGCTTCGTCGAGTGGCCCAGCAATCCGGCGTCACCCTACTATTACCAAGGTCCTTCCACGCACGTGGCGCAGGTGAAGCGCCGGGATGCCAAGTCGGATATTGGGGTGCCCACCAGGCGGCTCTCCGGGCAGAGTCTGACCAAAACGCAACTGCTGACGGGCGGCGGGAACTCGCAGTTGGCCAATGCGAGCTGTTATCCGTTGCACTATGCGAGCAGCAATGTTTCGGGCGCGGGCTACAATCGTCCCTTAGGTCAAAGATCAGGTGGCAGTGGCTCCGCCGGCGGCTTTGGCCTCCAGCCAGCCAAATCAGACCTCTTCTTGTCCTACATCCACGGCGGGGAGTATGAAAGACCCTACATTTACAACTACAAGATGCCGCAGATGCCGGGAGCAGCTGGTGCAGCAGCTGGGGCAGGAGCAGGAACAGGAGCAGTTGGCTCCCCCAAACAACAGACCACCGCTTACCACATTTCTGGGTCACAAACCGCAGATCCGCCGCCACCCCCTCCTCCTCTCTACGGCGGCACGGCGCCCGCCAACGACGTCATGTACTATCAGTTCGACAAAGGAGCCGCCGTCGCTGCCGGTCCTCCCTCCACGTCGTCCTCGTCGCCGCCCATTGTCCAGCAGCCGCGGCAAACGGGCGGTCCATTAGTGTATCTGCAACATGGCCAGAATCCATCTGTGCCGGAGGTGCAGCAGTCAACTGTGAGTACGAAGTGCAAACCTGTCGCATGTCGATGTTGAATGTTGATGTTGATGTTGATGTTGATGTGGATGTGGATACGTCCACCTGCCCCTCCTCCTCTTCAGTTTGTGAAACTTGTCTTTCGTTTGCCACTCCATTGTGTTGCATGTTTGTGTTCCGCGCCTTAATTGAATCCGTATTTCACTGGCACTATCGCATCCCCAGCCAAGTACTTAGTCTGTATGGCATGATACTTCTCCTTTATATTTTCGGTTTGTATTTCTAAAGACTACTAGAGTCTATGGAGTAGTGTGTATCCGTATTTGCACAAGTGTAATAAGTAACTGAAGCTTTTATGTTGATTATTTCGTAAGACCCATTGTGTGGGGGTGGGCTGTCCTCATTTCCGCCAAATGAGGAATCCTTATCGCACACACACTCCACCCAAAGGACCTGTGTGTGCCTGGCCCTATCGAAAGCCAGAAACGTAAACTTGCCGCTATCTCAGCTGCGGGTTGCTCTGAAATTTAATTAACTTAAATTTAAGGCGTGAGAGAGCCACTTTGGAAGGGATCCTTTTCAGCACTCGACTCCAATTTCAGTGGAATAGTTCGGCGAATCTTGGCCAGACATTTGCCCATATATTCCTAACTCAAAAGAATGCTATGCAAAACTTTGCCCAATTTCACGCATGCCTAATTAACAACTGAAATATTCCAACTAATTTCTGCTGGAGCGCAAATAAATTACCCGAAAAATAAAAGGCCATAAAGACCCAGTAAAGACAACGGTTTTGGCTAGCGGGGGCAATAAAAGAGAATAAATAATAAGCAACTATTTGCGCTACATTATCCAAGTTTATATAACAGACAGGACCTCCAGTCCTTCCTCCTTAGCTCCACTCTTGTGCTGCCCGAGCAAATAATTTCAGCCAAAGTTGATGGCACGAGAGCAGAAATACTTACCATTCTAAAATAAATTCTGGGCCAGCTTCCAAGCTCTCGACCCAGTCACACGCATGTGTGTATATCCCGCCTGCAGATACACGCACACATGTATTCGCATTTCCCAAACGGCAGGAGAAACAACAAGCGGGAGTACATAGAAACATTTTCGAAATGTTTGGCATAATTTTGCTATAAAATAAATTTTGCAAAATTGTTTTTCCTAAGCCGGGAAGCAGCTTAGTGAGGAGCGGCCAAGAACGACGACTACGCCTGAAATGGCAGCCAAAGCAACGACATCAGCAAGGACATCAAATAAAACAAGCAAATCAAAAATTATGACAGCGCAGCAAGGGGCAAGGGCGGCCAAAGGAATATGCCAAACACGGGATCCTGCGGCAGGCGAAGTTACACTCGGAAAAACAGCGGTCTCTCGGTCTTGGTATCACTCCGAAAAACTGAGAGCAAATCAGTTTGGTATTAGGCCAAAATATTTTAATCAAAATGTATGCTATAACTTTTTCTGCATTTTCAAATGTAGAAATGTAGATAAAATTACAGCCATTTCCGGTTTTTCCGAGTGCACTCGGATATGGGACTAGGGACACCATCTTGGCCAGGCCAAAGTGGCAAGTGCGCAGCCAGCGGCCAAGAGACAAACGCCAATGGTGACAACCCCCAAAAGGGGCGGGCGAGGAAATGGGTGGGCGTGGCTGGGTTGGTGTCCTCGCCCCAAAAAGCAGTTAAGTCAATAAATTTACTGATTTAATGTGGCAAAAGTTTCGATTGCTGTTGTCTCTGCCATTTGCTGTGTTGTTTCAAGGGCTAGCGATTTTTGCCGTCGGCGAAGAACACATCGAATGATGGTTTTGTCCCTGGTGAAACGCCTGCAGTTGTTATTATATCTATTGTCCGGACTGTTTTCGGTTTAGTAGCCCCAGGGAGCCTGGGAGCCACACTTGGCCAAATCCTAACAAATGCTAGATTAACACAATTGGCAAACAATAAGGCAACAAACTTATAGGCCTTAAAGCGATTGCTTATCGATAGAAGCGTTTTAGTTTGTGAGGAAATGGTCACAAATTGATTGAGTTGTTCAGAAACTGGAATCAGCATTTTAATTTAAGTAAACATTTTGCGTATTTTTCCAATTCGCTATTTAATTTTCGCTCCGTTTTTTTGAAGTTCATTAAAAAGTAAAGGTTAAATGCCAAATAATGTTATGACAGCCTTGGTCAACAGTATAACATTTTAAATTTAGAAAACAATGCCCAGAGTAAACAATGACCACAGCAGAAATGCATTCAACGTAACTTTGAAAAAATGGCAATTAAAAAATGGTCATAAAAATATGAAATTGCCAATTGATTTATTGGCAGAAAACATTTTTCCATGTCAAATAGTGCGGAAAACGTACAAAGTGAGAAACAAAGGGAAACTTTAAACAAACACTCTTTTTTTTATGCAGCACACCGTGAATGATTTAATTATTCATCATGTAGGCAATTGAAAATACTAGATGGTTTGAAGGGGCAGCCCCTCTTTCCGGCCTCTAAATGCCCTTTTATCCTTCGGCCTGCAGGCGGCATATGGCATATTTTTATGCATTTTTATTTAAAATGTTTTATGCATTCGCGGAAAAAGAAAAGGGCTGCACAACTGTTGGCGGAGCAGAAAAAATAGAAAATAGATCGTGCCGCTCGGTGGATGGCAATTATCTTTGATGGCGACAGTTGCCAGACGAGGTGGTGACCCACCCATCCTTGGCGACCCACCCGATTCGTCCCTGACATTGGATGCGTCCTCTGTTCCGTTCTCCTCGGAGCCGCGTGTTAATGAACGGGGCGTTTGACACTGGGCCACATTTATGCCAGACAATTTGATGCATTAGCGTGTGTGTGTGTTGTTGGCCATGGGCGTGTTTGCCCAATTAAGACACACACACACACCCATAAGCGGGGAGGAAAATTAATTAAATTCCTTGGCTTTGGCCGGCGCTCTTCAAGTTTGTTTATGCAATCTTGTACGTGTTTCCATTAGGCTACAATTCAAAGTTCATTATTGAATGGAAGTGGGCGAGGCCTAGCAGATAAACTTCCCTCCTGCGGCAACAAATACGATTTTCAAGTTGAATGCAATTTTAATTAATAGAAAATCAAACAAACTTTGTGTATATACAAAACAAACTTGTGTTCTCCGGCAAACTTGTGTAGTTTGGCTACAAAAAGCATAAGCCGCCAGCACACAAAGGCCGAAAGCTTAAGTGAGTAAAGGATACTCAGGAACTCGTACTCATACTTACTCGAACCCCTGAACCATTCGAGTGTGCTTGTGTTTGTACACCTTTCTGATTTCATTTACAAATGAATCTCACTGGCCGGCAGTCATTTCCCCAGCTTTTCCCCGCATTTTCCTGCCCTACCCCGCCTCGTGCGCTTATATGTTGACTTTTGGCAAAGAACTCGCCATCATAAAGGAATCAAATGGGCTTCAAGCGAACGTGTCTTGGGCCAAATTGAATGAGCTTTTAAGTGTATTGAGCCAGAGACAGAGCCAAGTCGCATTCAATGCGATTAGTTACCGCACATGTCTGCCACCCGAATGGCTTAATACCTTGCTGAAATGCAAATCGAAAAGTGCTTCTGTACTTACCAAGGCTCAAGGCTTTAGTCAGCACTGTTCTAAATAAAATCCCTAATAGTCCAGTGGTACAAACAGTGTTTAGCCAGTGGTGCAAACAAAATAATGAACAACTTTTGTTAAAGAGAGCCCCATTAAAGCATGGTAACTAACCTCTGAATCAACAAGGACTCAACGAAGGAATCGCTATCCGCTGTGCAATCAACAGAAAACCGCAGGGCGTGTGGCGCATTTCGAATGGGTTAGGAGCACCAATCTCCCCAGAGTTCACCTGAAACCAGCTCCCAGCTCTCAGCTCCCAGTATCCAATTCCCAGTCCCCAACCCAATCCCCCAGGTGGCTGCCTTTTCCTGGCCACCTGTGCACGCGGTTTGATTCGAATGGTCAGCTGTTTGGCCGCCGGGGCTTTAGTTACCATTACCATCGGCTTTGGCATTTGGCATTTGGCATTGTTGATTGGGGCCCTTGTTGTTCGAGTATTTTGCGTGTAATTAAAATTGCGCAGCACCCGCGCTGCAAATGATAAATTCATAAACTGGGGCAAGGGTATTTTCGCTGCTGTTTGTAAATTAATTAAAATACCAAGCAGCATTCATTGGGTTGATTTTGTCAATATTTTTCTAATTGAAATACTGTGTACCTAGTTGAAATTGTCGATAAACAGCATGTGTTTGTGTTTTGCCTGTGCCATGTAACATATTATTATGATAAATTAGTAAGCCTAATATTGTGATAAACAACTATGGTAGCTGTGTAAGTTGCATGCCCGTCTGTCCCTAAAACTACTGAACAATAGAGCGTGATTAGAGCCCTGCAAGAAAGCTAAACCTTGTTTGTATTTTCAACCTCACCACCCCGTACTACACCGTACTACAAACACCCCCAACCACCCCCAAATTGGATTCGATTTGCGATCCCCGAAACCAGACGCACTCCTCGCACTCCTGTAGCGAGGAGGACGAGGCCATGATTGTCCTGGAGGCCCTGCAGCTGGAGGCGCAGACCACCAACGACGAGACCGAAGATACCGAAGACGATGAGGCCGCCGAGGCCGAGGACATGTTTGATGCGGATGCTCCCTTGATGTCCCCCACGGGCAGCCACAATAGCTCCAATAACAATAGCAACAACAACAGCAGCAGCAGCAGCAACAACTGCATCGCCAACAACAACAGCTGCGGCGGCGGCGGCGGCGGCATTCGTCAATCCAATCCATCGAGCAATATTAATTTCGATAATTGCAATGCGAATGTCTACAGCGGTCAGCAGGCAAAGCAGCTAGGGCCAATTACCAGCGGCAACCAAACGTTAAATTGTCCCACATTGAATGTAAATGCAAATGCAAATGCGAATCTGAATCTGAACCCGAATCCGAGTAGCCACACCACCAATAGTCACTCCAGTAGCCAAGCGAATGCGAATGCGAATCCCCCACCCACCAACACCACCAACAATATCACAGCAGCAACTTTAGCTGCAGGTGCAGCAGCAGCAACTGGCACGGCAGCAACATCAACTGCCAACCTGCAACAAAATCAAAACATTTCCTCCAGCTTAGAGATAATCCTTTCGCCAATTATCCAAAGTAGTCGACGGTAAGTTTTATGTTCAGTTCGTTTTCGTTTTCGTTTTCAGTTGCCGTTGTTCTGTTTGTTGAGTAGGTACAACCTATTTCCTGTTTTCTGTAGCTAACAAGAAGTAATACCGATACCGACCTCTGACCTGCATGTTAAAACAGAGAAACAACAGAAGTGACTTTACCTCTAGATGGAAATGTATGCAATTTTTTTGCTACCCAGGTGGATTCGAGTTGAGTTATTGTGTCTATCTGCTATTGTTACGCATTGCATTGAAGTTCTAGCTTTGAGATGTTGACAAACATAATGAGTTGAAAACCCTTTGTTATGCTACCCCGGGTTTTTTCTCCCCTGTTAAGCATTAAACTTCATTGAACAGCGCGGGAAATTCAAAAGATCTCAACCCCAAACAGATACACGACATCTCCTTTAAGTGTGCGAAAACAAAACGAAACGAAAACATTATAAATTATGTATTAATGTGGCCTTTAGGCCTACGCAACGCGGAAATGTCGGGACCTCCCAGCTGCCAATTTTCAATTGCCTTTGGGCCAAGATAACAATCGACTTGGGGGCCAAGACAATGGCAAAGCTTCTCAGACAAACATTCATTTTCATTTCAATTTCACTTGCCTGCTCCTTGCTTTCGTTCTGGATTTACATTTGATTTGACTGTCTTTCCCCTCATTTTTGTGCCTCGACATTTTTCCGCCTGGCGGGGCAGCACAGAAACGCACAAATATTTATGTAAGCTAGGAAATTCGACAGCCTCTTTACAAATGAATAGGTTAATGTCATTGGGGTGGAATCTGCTGTTTTGTTTACGAGCCCAGCCAGGGCCAAATTGACTTTAAACATGTCAATTTAAATTTGGGGACCCCACCACCCACACCCTGCCAATCCAGCAGCCCTCATTAACGGCTACCCGGAAAAGTATGCTATGGCAAACGCAGAAATATTACTCATACGCCGCATTGCACGCAGCCATTGAAGCAACAAAATGACAATTTCACAACAAATTAACTACCCAGCCAACCAAACAGCCAGCATTCGCATATCCGAGTGGATGTGAAAGCCCGGGACATTTGTTTCGAGCTGGGAATTGCAAGTAAATGACCTTCAAACTCGATAAGCGAAAACAAAACAAGCGAAAGTGCTAAAAATATACATAATTTTCAGCACACGAAGACAAAAGACAAAAGTCCCTCGCACATGCACACATGAAAATATGATAGGACACAAAACACACCCACAGTCACACATTAAAGTATGTCTGTAGCTGGGTAAATGATATTTCTGCCGGCTCGATGGCCCGATGCCAATGTTTCTGTGACTCCGACCCGCACATAAATACAAATTTCAACAAAACAACAGGCCACAAAACAAAAATAAACCCACAAAAAAATAAGCGATGAAAGCAAAAAGGCGCAATGTTGGCAACAACAGGAGCAGCCAGTAAAAAAGAATAAAAAAAATAAACAAAAACAACAAAAACAACCAGGCTAGGCAAACATTTCATATCGTAGAAATACTTTGGAGCCAAATAAACAACATTTTGTAGCAGCACAAAAAGGCATAACAAACAGTTGAAAGGAAAATGGTTGGCCCGAGGGGTTTAGAGGACCTCGGGTTACTCTTTATTTGATTAAGATAAATATTTGAGGTCAGCCAATATTTGGAAACATTAGTATTTCGCTGCAAGTTGTAAGATATAATGAATAGCATATCCTTTCGTATACAAATATTGACAGCTTTAAGTTACCTCCGATGGATACTTTAGTTTGCTCTTGTAAAATGAGTAAAACTAGCCGTCCTTGCAACTTTTAAATATCTCCGTGCAGTTTCCGTTGCATTACACAGCATTACCCTACTTCGAAAGGGTATATCCACAAAGGGTCTGCGTGTTCGACCTTGGTACAACGACAGTTCTTGTTTTAGATTAGACCTCCCAACCAGTCCTCCCAACCCCTTGGCCCCTGGAATTCGGCCATTTGGAGCCCATCGCGACTTGTAGCTAGGCCACACGCCACCAGCAACAAAGGGACTCGGGGAAACTTTACGCATTTTTGTCACAGAAAGAAAATAGGAAACGAAAAGGAAAACGAAAGCGGTGGCGGTGGCGGTGGCGCAAGGAAAGTGCTGAAAATGTGGAAAGTGCCCGAGCGGCAATCGTAAATTTGACGCACATTTTTGCCCGAAGGCGGAGAGATAAGCTTATGAATGGCTATATAAAAACTCACCCCATTTCCACACATAATGTGGAGTGACTTTTTTCCAGGATTTCTTTTTGGTTTATGATTAAATTAAGTAATTATTTGTGGCGCGGCGCCAACAGAAATGATAAAAAGTATTCAATTTGTGGCAGTTGCGGCGATAAAACTGAATTTACTGCGGCCATAAACTGCGTGGCGGCACTTGAACTATATTTTTTGTAAATTTATTTCGAATTGAAGAGCACCATAACGCATACGCACCGTAGTCGCTACAACAAACTAACAAGCTATACTCACAACCACACGCCTACACATACACATACGCATACACTTACACCTACATTACTGAGCACTAGAAAACTTAAATGAGAAAATCGAATCAACAAGGAAACTTTTTCTAACATGTGCAAATATTTTCTCTCTTTCTTCCCACCCCGAAACCCTCTTTTCTCCCCACTTTTGTTTTCATGCCATGCAAATGCAACTACTACACAACTACAATGCAAACGGCAGAGCGCAATTGTAAGCGAAATGAGCACAGAGTTGTGAGAATTAGCTAAATTTAATTTGCAATAGCCAAAGCCCGCCGACCATGCCCCTGCAGCAGGAGTAAACTGCTCCTCGAATCCGCCGCCCACTGCATTCTGCAAACTTTGGTTGCAGCAACAGCAGCAGCAGCAGCAACAGCAGCAGCAGCAGCAAAAGCAGCAGCAACAGCAGCAGCAACTCTACGAACAGCAGCAGGCTTGGCTCTAGAAAAGGATAAACACGCACAACGTGTAAGTGGAAAGTTAAATGGAAACTGCATGTGCGGGTTCAACATCAACAAAGGAGGAGCAACAATAAACAACATTTAAAAGCCGCTGGGGCTGAAGTTGGTCCAAAACTTTTCACCAGCACGTTGCGTTTGCAAATTAAATGCACATTATGCCGACATGTAAATAGATAATGCTGTATATAGGCAAGTTGGGACAGGGAAACTTAATCGAGAGGCGAGCAGACCCCGTAATCTTAAGACGCGAGTAATCAAAAAGCCAAAAAAGCAAATGTATCTCACAGATAAACAACAGCAATCGGGGGCCTGTGGGCTGCAGGACAAAAGCAGCAAGTAGCATAAAAGCAAAAATAAATTGTGCGTTAATGATAAGCGGCGCACATTTCAGCGGCATAAAATTTATTAAAATATGCGCACAAGCCAGACAACGCGGAAAACTTAGCAAAGCCGGGCCCCCAAAAGTAGGCAGCACAAACAGACCCACGCAGACACACACACACACATACACACACACACAAGCTGAAAAAGGACTTCTCCCGGAAATCGTTGGCGATAAATATAAAATTTTATTGTTGTGCTCCGTATCTGCCGGAATCTGTATGTGTGTTTGCGTGCGCCTGGAAGTAAATTAAATATACGTTTTTATTAACTACTAAGAACCAATTTGATACGCATTTAAATAATGCCTCTTACACAAGAGCACACATAAGATAATGTAAAATTTAATTTTACTGCAGCCAGCGGCAGCAGCAGCAACGAGAAAAGCCAAATAAATGTAGAAGCCTAAATGTGTATGTAATTTAAATAAAATACATTCGTAGAAGGATACTCCAGTGTAGCCCCAACTACTTACTTACTTATGCCAACAACGTCCAACAATTTCAATAATATTTACGTAAGCGAACACTTTCGACCATATACGTTAAGCCCCATTTAGCTTAGTTTAATCATTTGCAACTAATTTAAGTCTGTCCGTCCGCTGGTCGACCTTTCTGACCTCTGTGACTCCTGAATTGTGTAAATATCCCCTCTGTTAACAAATATTACTCAACGATTTGTGTGGTCAAACTAGAGCTAACGAGTAGGAACGAATACGGAATGCATATGAAACATTATCGATTAAACACTTTTACAATCTACTGCATATGGGTGTAAACTGCAAACGAAAAGGAAACACAAATATATACGATTAAATGTCTCTAACAAGATTTTACCATGAGTGTGTCACTTTTATATATATATATATGTATATCTAATATATACAATAAAATTACAAGTGAAAAATAAACTGCAAGCGACATTTTATACAAACATTCACAAAGCAGATTTTTATTCGTTTTCCGGGGGCAGCCATCTGTGCTATCTGGGGCTATATAAAAAATCCACCCTCCGGGCCACTTCAACTGTAAGGAAACAGTAAAAGCATGGTCCTTTGATAAGCGAGTGGACAGGATGGCCAAGACAAGGAGGGCCAAGTCGAGTTGGCCAAAGCCAAGCGATAAGATGCCAGAAGACAAAGGCGCCAGCGAAACTTTCGAGTCGAAAGTCGAGTCGTGGACAACAATGCAAAAGGGTCCTGCGAAATTAGCCAACTTACGCGGCACAAAGAAAGGCTCTTACGAATTATGAATGGCCTTGCATAAGTTCGGATCAAGTGGCCCAACAACCTCGAGCCCAGAGATTCAGGCTCCACTACAACTTGAAGTGAAAACAAGATAGAATGCTATTGTCGAGTTTCCGACTATCAGATACCCGTTATTCAGCTGGTGAAAGTGCGAACGAGAAATTTCCACATTTTCTGGAACATCGGTAGAAACTGCAAAAAAAAGGAAGGAAAATATAAATATAATATATAGAAGGAAGGTATATAGGTATATAGGTTGTGGGCGTTAGAATGGGCGTGGCGAGTAAGCAAGCCATTTAATACTTTCCTTTCCTGACAGCATTACTGACTTGTCCAACGAACGAGCTTATTGCAAGTGCTAAGCTGACATACCGATGTTGACTTTAATCACTGAATAAATCTAACCTCAGCCATCCTGGAAATAAACTACAAAGACTGCCAATTCCATATAACACTACAACAAAGCCAGTTCATTTTTTTTAAATCGTTACTTACGTTCAGTATTTTAAACACATGAAATCCCGTGGATAGTCAAAGTCAAGCAGACACATACTCAGGAAACTCAGATCAGATGGCTTCCCAGAGTAAGAACAGCGGGTTGAACAACAAGGTGACCACAGTGGTGGCCACCAATGCCTATGGCGCCGATGTGATGACCGAGATCAGCTACACGGACGCGAAAGTGGTGGGCAATGGCAGCTTCGGCGTGGTCTTCCAGGCCAAAATGGTGCCCAGCAACGAACAGGTGGCCATTAAAAAGGTCCTGCAGGATCGTCGCTTCAAGAATCGCGAGCTGCAGATCATGCGCAAGTTGCGCCACGATAACATCATCACTCTCAAGTGGTTCTTCTTTTCAAGTGGCGAGAAAAGGGACGAGGTCTACCTGAACCTGGTCATGGAATTTTTGCCGGAGACCCTGTACAAAGTGGAGCGGCACTACGCAAGGGCCAAGCAGACCTTGCCCGTGAACTATGTCCGACTTTACATGTATCAGCTGCTCAGGAGCATGGCGTATCTTCACAGCTTGGGATTCTGTCACAGAGACATCAAGCCGCAGAACATGCTCCTCGATTCCGAGACGGGTGTGCTGAAGCTCTGCGATTTCGGCAGCGCCAAGCAGCTGATCCTCGGGGAACCCAATGTCTCGTACATCTGCTCCAGGTACTACCGTGCTCCGGAGCTAATTTTCGGCGCCACTGACTATACCACCAAGATCGATATGTGGAGCGCCGGCTGTGTGATGGCCGAGCTGCTTCTGGGCCAGCTCATCTTCCCCGGGGACTCGGGCGTGGACCAGATTGTGGAGATCGTCAAGGTGATGGGCACTCCCACTTCGGAGCAGCTCCATGACATGAATCCGCATTACAAGCAGTTTAAGCTGCCGCAACTGAAGCCGCACCCCTGGTCAAAGGTATTCAGGATTCGCACCCCGGCGGAGGCCATTGATCTGGTCTCCAAGATGCTTATATACTCGCCCAATGCCAGGGTTTCACCGCTGATGGGCTGCGCCCATCCTTTCTTCGACGAACTTCGCCAGGATCCCCATCAGCAGTTGCCCAATGGCAGGAACTTGCCGCCGTTGTTTAACTTTACGGACTATGAGAAAACCATCGAGCCGGACACAATTCCACTGCTGCTGCCACGGACTCAGGGATCGAACACCACCAAGGAGTCAACTACTGCCCAACGGACCCGCAATACAGCCGGGGAGGAGAGCCCTCAGAAAACGGAGGTCATCCAAAAACAGGCAACAGCAGCGCTCTCCAAGTCCCCGGAACCTTCGGGCAAGACACGCGGATCCCCGCCAGGCTTTATGCGACACGATTTGGGAAACGGCGACCACGTGGCTGTGGGCTCCGTGCCAATGGAGCCCACAGCCCTGGAGCAGGACAACTTCGCAGAAAATTATGAAGTCGACGAGGACGCCGAGTGCAATTTGGACGAGGATGCCGGTGATGAAAACGACTATGATGACGATGACGATGACGATGAAGGGCAGTGCAATAGCACCAACATCAGCGACGATATGGCAGATGCCTCCGAATCAGATAACGACGATTTCGAGGAAGAGGAGGAGAACTAAATATTCTCCTGGCAGGGTTTCCGTATATTTGTATTTCAAAGTTCGGTTGACCCGCACAAACAGAAAATGTAGAACTAATAGTAGTAAGTATCTAAATTGAAACACAAGAAATAAAACTGTAAAATTGTTTGTCCTCTCCAAAACAATATTCTTTATAATGATACAACTTTAATGTTCTTCTTCGCTTTCAAAATATATGTTTGCTTCCTTGAAAACGGGCGCTTGCATCACAAGTAAGTGTGATTTCACTGCCTAAATGTGTTTCACATGGGCGAAACTTGAGCAGGACTCGCAAATGGCATTTGGATGGCCGGCTAAAAATATACTTAATTATTTAAATGTCAACGCAGTAGGGTGGCGCCTCGACGCGGTTGTCCTTGGCGAGCTCGCTCAAATATAAATTTCCGCGCTTTGCGGCCGTTCAAATGCCGGCGGGGAAGCCGAATCGCAAAAACAGGAGTCCAGCACGCACACATGTCCTTTCCTTTCCGGAGGCGAGTCCCATTTCCTGCCTTCGTCCTCTGGTGTCCTGCTGCCCACTCTAGCTGTCTGTGTGTGTTTGTTAATGTGGTAAAATGAATTTTCAGTTTCATTAGTTAAATTGAATAATGGAAAACTTTGTTCGCCGCATTCGACTCACTGTTGTTGTTGCTTTTGGCCATGCCTGGCCTGGGAGCGAAAGTTACACTTCCGTTGGCAACACAAATACACAGCCACTAACTCAGCCGCACACGCACACAGGCACAGCCACACACACATACGCACAAGGACATGGAACCGGGCAATAAAGCAAATTTATGCAAACGATAAATTTCGTGCGAGTGAAATTGTTTGTTTTGTTCTGTGTTCGCCAGTTGTGACGTCGAGGGAAAATGCCAGGCGGAATAAACGGAGAGCGAGTGTAGTTAGTGCCTCTAAGTAGCAGTTACCAATTACTCACCGTTTTGGCCCTGTGCTCCAATGATGTTTCTGCACTTAAAGCTCGCTTCTCGAAAGTATACAAATGCATGCAATTTTAAACTACACGAAAACGAAGCGTAATTAAATATTTCAGCAAGGAAAACGGAAATGTTTGTAATTTATTTCGCTGGTTTATGGATTCAATTTGAATGTCAAAGCACCTGTTCTTTTGAAAGCTAATATGACACATATTGAAAACCGGTAGTCCGACGATCCCTTTATGTTCAGATTAGAAAAGCGATTCAGTTTCCAGTCGTGATATGCAAAGTTTAAAGTGTACACTCATTAAGCGAAAAGTCAAGCACACACAGACTCCGGGTGAAAATCTTTCGCAACAGCGATTACACGGCAACACTAACAACTAACCGCAGGAGCACCCGGCTGAGCGAATCCGGCGGAGAGGAGTCCGGCGGAAGGGAGCGACACTCCGGCACGGCTGAGTAATAAACACGCCGATGACTATTTACAAAGTGTTAGCTGCGGGTCGTTGTTGCTGGTGTTTTGGGGGCGTTGCGGGTGTTTTTTGGGTGTTCTCTGGGTGTTTCCTGGGTGTCGGTAGCTAAACCTTTGACTCAAGTGTGATTACGATATGCTACATAATAGAAACTCGGGCAGCCATGAAGAGGTGGGCCTCCTGTCCACAAGGAGGTGTCTGGCACAGCCGGGGATCCGCAGCAGTGGCAGAAGCAGAAGCAGTAGCTGTAGCTGTAGCTGTGGATGCGGCTGTGGCACCAATGGCAATGAAACATTTTTGGGAACAGCAGCCAAGGGGCACATGGCCGTATGGCCGTATGGCCGTAACTTGCAGGCATTTTACGGCCTTTTGGGCAGCTGAATGGAGTTCGGAACAAAGTGGGGAGCTGTCTGTTCTGCGCTGAATGGCTACTAACAAGCAGCCGCCCAAGGTGAATGCGGTTAAAGTGTTTTCGGTTAAAGCATTTCGTGGGCCAAAGCATTTGCATAAACAGTAAAACCTTCGCACCAACGCCAACCGGGCAAACAAACAAACAGGCAGTCGTGCAAATAGACGGAAGGCCAAAAGCGGGCGGACAAAAGTGCCCGGGATGCCATGGATAAAAGTGGCAGGAGCACAGACTTCCTGTTGCTATTGCAACCAGAGTTATTTTATTTCCGTTTCCGGACACGCACACTTGTAGCTGGCTGCCGGAGTCGAAAATGCGAAAATGCGAAAATGCGAAAATACGCCTGTGGTTCCCACCTTTCTGCGCCCAGATAAATTTTCACTAAATGCACTTTTAATGGGCTCCACCCGGCACTCTCCGGAAACTAAACCGAATTCGAGAACCGAAACGAAACCGGAACAAACCAAATGAGCCACCAGAGCTGCGCTTCTTACAGGCGTGTCTTATTTTCGGATATTAAATACTGTCCCCAAAACTTTAGACTAAAATTGAATTGAGCGTCTTGAATCCTTCATATCCAGGTGATGTGTCCAAATGATAGGCCTTTGGATAGTTACATACGTACCCTGCGAATATCGTGATATCCCCGGGGACCAAAACGAACCTGCGCATCTCCGAGCTGCATTTGAAATTGGAAATTGTATATGTTGCTATTTTTCGACAGCATGGATGGGCCTGGTGTCCTGGGATGCAGATGGCTGGGCTGAGGGAGGCTGTGGCTGCGGTTTGTCCAAATAAAGCAGTTGAGTTAGTTATGCGCAGCTTGCGGTTTCGCTTTGACTATTTTTGCGTGCAGAAATGCGAAATGCCAGCGGGAGGGCAACGAGTTGGTAGAGCCTGTGTAAAATGGCAGACGGACTAATTAGGAAATTGTACGCTTTAATGCAGCTGCAGCTTCCACAAAATAAACGCATAAATTTGTTATTGAATTTACACGCAAAAGCTGGAACAGGAGCCACGCAACACGGCCCGAAACGTGACGAATTTTTGAGGTCGAGTGCGGGGACGAGCGACTGTGAAAAGCTGGCACACAAAGCGGAATGTCCTGGCCACACACGTATGTTGGCCATTTATGCACTTGAACTTTTACTGCTCAAAGTTGCGGGGGATAGAAAATCGAAGTTTTAATTGGATTTGCGATTCAATTAACAGATTTGTCAGCATGTAAACAGTTTTATGACGTCGCAACAGCGACAGGAACTTCTGAGCTGAGCAGAACTAAGCTGAGCTATGCGATTGCGAGTGCGAGTCCACCTTTCAATGAAATTTATTGAAATTGATTTGCCATTTTAATGGAATTACGCTGGCAGGCGAAGGTGGCAGGCAGTGCATGCCCAGCTCGGCGTTTAATTGAAATCTTTTAATTAGTTTGATTTTCCAATCAAGTGGCATAGAAGACAAACAGGAGTGGCCATTTCCCTGCGGTCGACCACCGCCCGCCCAGTCCACCTCCTCTCCCAGCCAAGGAAAGCCAATTAGTTGCAATGCCTTGAAGTATGCTTTCGGGGCTGTGGGCTGCTGTCTCGGTTCGAGTTCGATATCCATTATGTTGTTCACGTCGATTGTCTGTCGATTACAAAGTTCCCCGGCCCTGCCTTCCTCGTCCTCGAAGAGCTATGCAAAGCGCAAAGCGCAAAGCGCTCCCTTCTCCGGAGTCGTTGCGCAACATAATCATTATCCTTGGCTTAACTCGAGTGCCTGCAGATACAGACGGAGTGCGGCGTGCGGAGTGCAGAGTGGGTCTGTGCCAGGCTCTGCCAAAAGGATTTCGCCTATTGATTCCACAAAGTGAAAGCCAAATCCACATGATATCAATTTGCTTTCAACGTTATGCCGCTGGCGTAAATAACCGAGACAGTCTCGGCGGAAAGGGAGGAGCGAAACACATCCAGTGGATTTCGGCACTTGGCGAGGGCGCTGGGAACCCCTGGAAAAGCCGGAAAAGCCGGCGGAACTGAGCGACTTCTAGCTCCTGACAGCGGGCGTTGAGCAGCGCGGAAGCATCCGAATATCAAAGCCCCGGATTCAATGGATGCCATGAAAGGCAGCCACTTGGTGGCATGCTAATGTTGCGGGCCATGGAGATGTCGGAACTGCAACACATCTGATTCAATTAACTAATTAAGCCGCCAACTGAAACTGAACTGAGCTCTGAACAGAATCGATCTTCCATATGGGCAGCCGATTTATGGTGGTTGATTGCATGAGGTTCCTTGACCGACAGCAAAGATGTAAGTGGATGTCTAAATTTAATAACTAATTCATGATTCTCTAATATGCACACAGAGATGTCCTTTACGGGAGTGTCCTTTTTCTTTGGCCGTGCTTCCTGCTGCGACGCCCACTTAAAACTATCCACAACTTGCATTAGCTCATCGCAGGCATACCCAATCACGGCGGGCTCCCTCCCGCATTTATTTCTTGCCACAAGCCGCAAGTTGGCAAGCCAAAACTGCGGCAAGTGCAAAAAACGCAACAAGCCCGCCAACAAATCCATTATGAGCTTATGCTGCGAGCGCAGTGTAAACTTTTCACACGAATCGCGGAAGCTTTACTTTTTCCGCGCCGAGCAATTATTTTAAATGCGCCGTCAACGCCGCCAAACACAAACTAACCAGACAAACAGGGGAAGTCCCGGGCTTCGACTCCGGAGCCGGAGGAGCTCGGATTCCTCTGACTCCGTGCGTGCATAATTAATTCAGCGCATAAATTCAAGACGCCGCCCCCGAAAAGGGGCGGGGCAAGTCGCCAAGGACTGGCAAGCTGGCAAGTCTATGAAATTATAAACTTTATCCTTTCGAGGCGCGAGTGTCAAATGGCGGCTGGCTTTTTGATGTCGCCAGACAGCCAGCCATCTACAAATCCCGCGCGCGACTTTAAATAAATTAAAACCCTGAGCGCTTGTGCCAAATGGAAATGCTCCTGCGTGGATAGGAAATTGTGCCAGCTCGTGACTCTCGACGGGTTGGAAAACTAATCCAAATGTGGCAGAAGTATTCGATACAGATCAAACAACTTTCAGATAATTAAAACTGAAAGAGAAGAATAAACTGTTCGGCGAAGTGAGACATATCATGGCAAAGGATGGGGATATGCAAATCCCGTAAAGGACTCAGAAATGGATATGCAAATTGCAGGAGAGAAGCAAAGGAAAGCGGGCAGCCCAAGTAAAACGGGAATGAAGAGCAAGTTAGGTGAAGGTGAGTGCTGCAAAAAAGTCCTGATCAAATATGGAGAAAGGATTGAGGACTGAGCAAAAAGGAGCAGAAAAAGGCTC